CTTCTTTGAGATGGAGTCTCGCTCTGTTGCCCAGGCTGGAGTGTAGTGACATAATCTCAGCTCACTGCAACCTCCACCTCCTGGTTCAAGCAATTTCTTCTGCCTCAGCCTCCCGAGAGCTGGGACTACAGGCCCACACCACCACCTATTTTTTTTTTTTTTTGAGATGGAATCTCTCTCTGGTCACCAGGCGCTTGCCCAGTGCAGTGGCATGATGCTTGGCTCACTGCAACTCCACTCCCAGGTTATGCCATTCTCCTGCCTCAGCCTTCCTGAGTAGGCTGGGGACCCACAGGCGCCCACCACCCAATGCCGGACTAATTTTTAGTATTTTAGTAGGATGGGTTCACCGTGAAAAAAAAAAGAGGGACAACAAATCAACCTTGCAGTGTTAAAATGCTTAGAACAGTGCCTGGCACACAGAAAGCGCTCAGGACACGTTAGCCCAGGTGATGGTGATGATGGATTAGGCCAGGTGCCAATCACGGAGTGGGCATTTAGTAAACAGTTATTGTTATAACCTAAGCTCTGAGGAAAATGACTTGTCCAAGGTAGCACAGCTGGTAAGTGCAGCATGGTGGAGAAGAGCCTAAGCTCCGGGTCTCAGCCTGGCACATCGTAAATCATAAATCTTAAATAATATTTGGAGGAGGTTCAGTGTGGTTAAGAACATGGACTCGGCAGCTCACACCTATAATCCCGGCATTTGTGGAGGCTAACATGGGCACATCCTTTGATCCCAGAAGTTTGAGACCAGCCTCGTCAATACAGGAAAACTCCGTCTCTACAAAATATACAAAAATTAGCCAGGCATCGTGATGTGTGCCTGTAGTCCCAGCTACTCAAGAGACTGAGGCAGGAGGATCACTGAAGCCCGGGGGTGTCAAGGCTGCAGTGAGCTGAAATCACGACACTGTACTCCAGTCTGGGTGGCAGAGCAAGACCTTGTCTCAAAAAAATAAATAAATAAATAAAGATAACATGAACTCTGGAGGCTGACCGCTGGGTTCAAATCCTAGGTCTACTACTGACCGCCTGTATGAACTTGAGCAAGTAACTCAGCTTCTCTGTGCCCAGTTTTCTCATCTATAAAATGAAGCTAATAATAAAACACCTGCAATTAGGAAGATTAAAAAATAACATTAGTAAAGCCCTCAGGACCCATATGGTTGTTAGCTGCTACAGTATTACTATGCCCTCAGTTTGCCAGAAAGAAACATTGAAAGTAACAGAAAACAGTTAACAGTATCATTTCACGGACCCAACTGAGATAGGGGAGAAGAAAATGGATACAAATTCAGCAATCCTTGAGCTAAGAAAACGTTTACAGTCAGGGGTGGTCGTTCAGGCCTATAGTCCTAGCAGTTTGGGAGGCTGAGGCCAGCAGATCACTTGAGTCCAGGATTTTGAGACCAGCCTAGGCAATGTGATGAAACCCCATCTCTACAAAAAACACAAAAATTACCTGGGATGGTGGCATGCACCTGTAATCCCAGCTACTCAGGAGGCTGAAGTGGGAGGACCGGCTGAGCCCAGGAGGCAGAGGTTGCAGTGAGCCAAGATTGTGCCACTGCACTCTAGCCTGCGTGGCAGAGGGAGACCTTATCTCCAAAAAAAAAATGGCCGGGCGCGGTGGCTCAAGCCTGTAATCCCAGCACTTTGGGAGGCCGAGACGGGTGGATCACGAGGTCAGGAGATCGAGACCATCCTGGCGAACATGGTGAAACCCCGTCTCTACTAAAAAATACAAAAAACTAGCCGGGCGAGGTGGCGGCGCCTGTAGTCCCAGCTACTCGGGAGGCTGAGGCAGGAGAATGGTGTGAACCCGGGAGGCAGAGCTTGCAGTGAGCTGAGATCCAGCCACTGCACTCCAGCCCGGGAGACAGAGCGAGACTCCGTCTCAAAAAAAAAAAAAAAAAAAAAAGTTTATAAATGGAGCAATGGGAAAAGAAAAAACTTGGATGCTTTTCTTACCTGCCCCAGGGTAGTCCTAGAAATCAGTGAGAATTCCCATTTGTCGTCAGAGATTCCTGCAACATAGAAGTGCAAGAGAGGAGACAATAAGCAGAGGCACAAGGCATTACTCCCAAATCACAGCTAAGCCACCATGCAACCCTGGCCAGCTCCTTCCAAACCCAGCTCCCTTAGCAACTGCAGTTTCCTATCCAACCAGACGGGGGCGCTGAGCTGACAGTCTTGCTGCTGGCAACAGTGACAGCCTCTGTGAAAGCACAGTAGATGCTCGTCCACTTGTCGAGGAGCATGCTGAATTCTTATCACTTTTGTGCCATCGTAAAGTCACAAAGCCATAAGTCGAACCATCATAAACTGGGGATTATCCGCAGTCCCTCCTTATCTGTGGGGGACATGTTCCAAGACCCCCAGGGGATGACTGAATAGTACTGAACCCTATATATACAGTACTATGTTTTTTTCTATACATACATATCTATGATTATGTTTAATTTATAAATTAGGCATGATAAGAGATTAACAACTAATAATAAAATAGAACAATTATAGCAATATGATGTAATACAGTTATCACGCACTGTGGTCATAACTTTTGCAGTTTCATGTGTGGCAGCAAAACTAGCAGGTATTTTTTTTCCTTCTTCATAATTTCACAGATAGAAGATTCGTTCTTACCACAGATGTTAGCGACCTCAGCATACTTTCTTTTTTCTTTCCTTATTAAGTTGAGAACTTTTACCTTTTTCATTTAAAGAAAGAATTTTATGGCTTCTCTTTGGCATATCCAAATTGCTAGCATCACTACTCTTGCACTTTGGGGCCATTATTAAGTCAAATAAGGGTGACTTGAACACAAGCTTTGCACACCATGGCAGTCGATCCGATAATGAACAGGGCACTTACTAAGTGACTAATGAACAGGGAGTGTATACAGCATGGAGATGCAAGACAAAGGGACGATTCAGGTCACCCAGGTGGACAGAGCGGGACAGCACAAGACTTCATCACGCTACTCAGAACAGCGTGCAATTTAAAACTTACAGATAGTTTATTTCTGAAATTGTCCATTTAATATTTTTGGACAGTGGTTTGACTGCATGTAACTGAAACCACAGAAAGCAAAACTGAGTCGGGGGTGGGGGAGGGGGGCGGTTACAGTAATAGCCTTTCCCTGTGGACCAGATGTTATACCAAACACTTTCATGTGTTATTTCACATTAGTGTCATAACACTCCACAACACAGGAACTCTTATTATTCCCATTTTATGTAAGACAAATCTGAGGCCTAGAAAAAAAACAAATAAGAAAAAAGAAAAAAATCTGAGACCTACAGAGGTTAAGCAATTTGCCTAGCAGGCCAAACCTAATATTTGCAGGACAGGGGCAAGAATACAGCTGAATGCATACTTAAAAAGTTATAAATGATCCTAATGAACTATTAAATAAAAGACAATTTATTCTGCTATGTTGATAAATAAACCTTCACAGTGACTTGGAAGACTACATTCACATTTTTGGGCCTCTCAGAGTTCTGTACTAGAAGGTGGTGGGAGGCAGAGAACAGAACCCCAGCCCTGCCCCCTTCTCTTCATATCTCTAAATCTGTTTGCCTGGCAGGGCCTTGTGTCCTTGCACGCAGAGGTCCTAACCTGCATGCTCACACTCTGTTCCCGGGGTTCTAAACTGAAAAGTTCCCTCAGGTATCCAGCACAATGAATGGCAAAAGAGCTACATCAAAGCACAACAAAAATCATCACATTCTAGAATACCAAGAGAAGATCTTAAATGCTTCCAGAAAACAGGGTTGGGGTGGGGGAAAAACCCATACAAAGAATCAGGAGTCAGAACAGCACTGTATTTATCAAAGTCAGAAAAAAACCAGAGCAATATCTTCACAATTATGAAAGAATTCTATCCACAGCCAAACTACTAATTAAACCAGTAGAATAAAGCCATTTTCAGTGCCATTTAACATGTATGGCAGCACGGTAGCCAGCCACTAAGGTGGCCCTTAATGATTTCTACCTCCTGGTATCTGCACTCTTAACAAAGTTCGCGCGCACACTGAATATGGCTGACCTGTCAAACCATGGGATGTTGCAATTGACAATACGGGACTTCTGAGGCTAGGTCGTAAAAGACATTGGTGGTTTCTACGTTGCTCCTAGATCACTTGCCCTGCTGAAAACCAGCTGCTGTATCATGAGGACACTCAAACAGTACTATGGAGAGGTCCATGTGGTAAGGAACTGGGGCCTCCTGCCAACAGCTTGCACAAACTTGCCAGCCGGGGCTCCTCCAGCCCTGGCCAAGCCTTCACATGATTTCAGTCTCATGAGAGACCCCAAACCAGAACCACCCAGCTAGGACGCTCTCAAATTCCTAACTCACAGAAACTGTAAGATGATAAATGTTAATTGTTGTTTTGAGGAGAGAGGCTATTTCTCTTACTGTCTCTGAAGACAAAGAAGAAGTAAAAGCTGAAAAACAACAGGAATGAAGTCAGTGGCAAGACCAACTGGACGCCACTGACCAGGCCTGAGGTTAAAGATACCCCCCCCGCCCCGCCCCCGCCACTGTAACCACATGTGTTACCTATAGATCACTTGCTCAATCTATCACAACCCTTTCATGTGGACCCCCTTAGAGGTGTAAGCCCTTAAAAGGGCCAGGAACTTCTCCTTCGGAGAGTTTGGTTCTTGAGACGCAAGTCTGCCGACGCTCCTGGCCAAGTAAAGTCTCTTCCTTCTTTAACCCGGTATCTGAGAGGTTTTGTCTGCAGCTTGTCCTGCTACAGTTTTAAGCCATTAAGTTTGGGAATAATTTGTTACACAACAAAAGACAACTAATACAGACCTATTGGGAGGGGAGGAGCCACAGTATTTTATAGTTCTTCTAATCAAGATGTGAAGTCTACAGTCTAGCTCTCTACTCTAGAATTTGGATTTGGCTGACGGGTCATTATAGAAAGATTACAGAAGTAAGGCTTAAAAAGCGCTTGTGCAGGCAGGGCGCGGTGGCTCACGCCTATAATCCCAGCACTTTGGGAGGTCGAGGTGGGCGGATCACCTGAGGTCAGGAGTTTGAGACCAGCCTGCCCAACATGGTGAAACCCCGTCTCTACTAAAATTATAAAAATTAGCCAGGCATAGTGGCAGGCACCTGTAATCCCAGCTATTTGGAAGGCTGAGGCAGGAGAATTGCTTGAACCTGGAAGGCGGAGATTGCAGTGAGCCGAGATTATGCCACTGCACTCCAGATTGGGTGAGAGTGAGACTCCATCTCAAAAAAAAAAAAAAAAAAAAAAAAAATGCTTGTGCAATTGAGTCTTGCCCTCTCTTGCTCCTGGGAACTCTGCAATTATCACCATATAATTTAGCTAGGCTTGTCTGCTGAAGACACGTGGTCCCATCATCCCAGCTATCAGCCAGCATCAAGCAGACGAGAGTGAGACCATCCCAAACTTTCCAGCCCAAGCTGAACTGGCTCAGAAGAGCTAATCCATAGGATGATGAGAATTAATCAATGTTTGTTTTTTAAAGCTATCAAAGTTTTCAGGTAATTTGTTACACAGCATAAGCTAATTGATATAGCATATTTACTTTGTGTGCACCTCCTGCCTCAACCTCCCCACCCTAACCAGGAAACTATTGATGTGTTACAAGAACACTACAGGATGTGTTCAAAGCCTGGTTACCTCCTAACTTTACCTGGTCTCGGGCAAGTTAATTTACCTCTTTCAGCCTCAGTTTTCCTCATCTTCAAATTGGAGATAACAGTAGGTAATAGCACCTAGCTTGGTGCGATCTCGGCTCACTGCAACCTCTGCCTCCTGGGTTCAAGCGATTCTCCTGCCTCAGCCTCCCAAGTAGCTGGGATTACAGGCACGTGCTACGACACCTGGTTAATTTTTGTATTTTTAGTAGAGACGGGGTTTCACCATGTTGGCCAGGCTGGTCTCAAACTCCTGACCTCAAGTGATCTACCCGCCTCGGCCTCCCAGAGTGTTACAGGTGTGAGCCACCATGCCTGGCTGTACCTAGCTCTTAAAGTTCATGTGACAATTAATTGAGATGAACTACATAATGTGCTTAGCACACAGTGCTCACATAAATCATTAATGAAGGTAACAGGAAAAAAGTCAAAATGAGTAGATCTCCTGGGTAAGGCCTGGGTTGGTCCTTCAATAGGATAGTCTTGGCCGGGCGCAGTGGCTTAAGCCTGTAATCCTAGCACTTTGGGAGGCCGAGACGGGCGGATCACGAGGTCAGGAGATCGAGACCATCCTGGCTAACACGGTGAAACCCCGTCTCTACTAAAAAATACAAAAAACTAGCCAGGCGAGGTGGCAGGCACCTGTAGTCCCTGCTACTCGGGAGGCTGAGGCAGGAGAATGGTGTAAACCCGGGAGGCGGAGCTTGCAGTGAGCTGAGATGCACTCCAGCCTGGGCGACAGAGCGAGACTCAGTTTCAAAAAAAAAAAAAAAAGGACAGTTTTTCCAAAGAAAGGTTACCAAGAGTATCAGTCAAGTAAACATTTATTATGTTTGCCACATTCCAGGTCCCTTACCTGAAACTGACCTAAAAGCAGGAATAATTCATGGCACTGAGCTATTTTGAACCAGAACCAAGCTTGCTTATTGCACAAGTAACTAAAGTAGGACATCAAAATATTTTTGTTTTTATTTTTTTGAGACAGTCTTGCTCTGTCTGTCACCCAGGCTGGACTGCAGTGGCATGATGACAGCTCACTGCAGCCTCACCCTCCCAGGCTCAGGAGATCCTTCCACTTCAGCCTCCCAAATAGCTGGAACCACAGGCATGAGCCACCATGTCGGGCTAATATTTTTTATTATTTTTGTAAAGATGGGGTCTCCCTATGTTGCCCAGGCTAGTCTCAAACTCCTGGGCTCAAGTGATCCTCCCACCTTGACCTCCCAAAAGTGCTGAGATTACAGGCATGAGGCAATGCACATGGCCCAAAAAATATTTCTGAATAGAACTTGAAAATATGGATATTTTGGTCTATATTTCACCAGCCCCACTGAGCACTCCAGAGCCAGATGTGAAGGGAAGAGAGTAGCCAGGGTATCCCATAACTCTTTCTGTATCCTGTCTTTTCCCCACCAGGGAGTAGGAAAACATTCTATCCTGAAAACAAGATTATTTCACCTCCTTTTAATTATTTTGATCTCAACCCACAATATGAAAAACACATCATATTGTGCCTGAATACAAACTCAAAACTGAAACAAAAGTTTCATCAATTGAGACTTGAAATGTGTGATACATTGTTTTTTTTGTTTTGTTTTGTTTTTTTGTATTTTTTTTTTAAACGTTGATCACAATTTTCTATAAACGGATTTTAAAACCTATTGACAGGCCAACACCAGCTGTTTGAAAAAAAAAATACTCTGAAGTATCACATGGGGGAGGAATCCCTTCACTTCACAGGGGGTAAACTGGGTCTCAGAGAGATCAAGTCAGTTGCTCAAGGCCACGCAGCTAGTAAGTGGCTGTGGTTGGATCTGACCGTAATAACCATTGGGTACTGAATGCCTATCATGTGTCAGCCATTTGCTGAGTTCTTTTTTCTTTTTGAGACGGAGTCTTGCTCTGTCGCCAGGCTGGAGTGCAGTGGCGCGATCTCGGCTCAACTGCAACCTCCGCCTCCCGGGTTCAAGCGATTCTGCTGCTTCAGCCTCCCGAGTAGCTGGGACTACAGGCTCGCGCCACCACGCCTGGCTAATTTTTGTATTTTTAGTAGAGACGGGGTTTCCCCATGTTGGCTAGGATGGTCTCCATCTCTTGACCTCGTGATCCGCCCGCCTCGGCCTCCCAAAGTGCTGGGATTACAGGCGTGAGCCACCGCGACCGGCCTGCTGAGTTCTTTAATTGCATTATTTCATTTAATACTCACTGTGATCCTATGAAACAGATACTATTCTTTCCACCTTACAGACGAGGAAACGGAGTCTCAGAATAGGGGAAATGACTTAAGGTGTCACAACGGCCAGTAGCAGGCCCAGGACTAGTCTCTAGGTCTGGCCGTGCACAAAGCCCCGTGCTCTCAAGCTGTAACTCCGCTATCAAGAAAGTGGTTATGCAAGTGGGCCTGTGAGCTCTCAAACGCCTAAGCGTGCGCATGTGAGACAGCGATAAGCTCGCGTTCTTCGTCTCCAGGGCCTTATCATTCCTCACGCTTTCCTCCATCAGCTCGCAAAGAAACGTGGTGACCAAGGAAGAGAGCACAGGCTACAGCCTCGTTGGGGGAGGAGAATTCGAATCTCAGCCTATGAGTTTACTCAGCACACCCGTTTAAGCTCTCGGTCCTTCAGTTTCCACACCTGGGAAGCTGGGACAGCTCCAGGACCGGAGTCTACACGAACTCTAGCACCCGGGAGGCGCGAGTCCAACGTCAGTTCCGCCCGACTCCGCCCCCGCCTTTTCCCTGGGCGCATGCGCCGCGCAGCGGCGCCTTTTACGACGCGGCGGGCGCGGCGCGCTTGGCGGCCGGAGCTAAGCGGCGCTGAGCTAGTCTGAGCAGAGCCGGGCGAGTGCGGCGGCGGGGCCGAGAGGACGCGCAGGTGGCAGTGTCGACATGTCGCACGGTCACAGCCACGGCGGGGGCGGCTGCCGCTGCGCCGCCGAACGGGAGGAGCCGCCCGAGCAGCGCGGCCTGGCCTATGGCCTGTACCTGCGCATCGACCTGGAGCGGCTGCAGTGCCTTAACGAGAGCCGCGAGGGCAGCGGCCGCGGCGTCTTCAAGCCGTGGGAGGAGCGGACCGACCGCTCCAAGGTGGGCCGCCTGGGGCTTGGGGCGGGCGGGGCGGGGTGCGCGTTTGGCCTCGGGCCGTCGGTCTACTCATTCCTGATGTTAAAAATAACGACAGCCTGGTTGCCAAGCGCTTTTCCGTGCCTGTCCCCTGCCAGCTCTTTGGGAGGCGAGCAGCGTTGAGTCTCCCCATTTTGCATATAGGGAAACTGAGGCCGAGAGGGAACGGGGACGGTTTTGTCAAGCTACGCAGCCTAACGCTCTTCCAGGGCTGTGTGGGTTAGAGAGGATGGCCGTGAGGGCCGTTGGACCATTGGTGCTAATGGCTGCCTCATCATATTACCTGGTGAAGAAGAGCCTAGGGAGATGAAAGGTGTTTCCCATATAAACAAAGGTTCTTTATATTGTGGGGTCGCAGACCCCCTTGCTATCTATTTGAAAACAATGGACCTTCTCCTGAGAAAAATGCACGTAAGCACCTGCCTTTCAGTGCACACTTCAGAAGGCTCTTCGACCCTGGAAATTCATTCATGGGCTTTTTATTAAGCACCTCCCACTTGGATGACCTGTGGCTGTTAGGACACTGGATAAGACTGATTAGCTTCAAGTTAATAAGTCTTGGAAAAACAAGGGAGAGTGACTATTCCCATTGCACCCCAGTTGTAGAACAGGGTGGGAGATGCCTGAAATTGTAGGCTCTCAGCAAATATTTGTTGCTTTCTCCTCCCCCCTCCCCATCCCCTCCAGTTTGTTGAAAGTGATGCAGATGAAGAGCTTCTGTTTAATATTCCGTAAGTATCTCCTTGGTGCCTACCTCCGGCTAAATAAGCTGTACCCAGTTGCCTCCTCAGATGGATTCATTCACTGGTGTCAAGAGCACACATTTGCTTCTTGAAATGGGATAAATTAATTTAGTGGGTTTGAGGAGGAAGGCATCATAGCTTTCTTGGTGCAAACTGGAAACAGATGTAGTTGTTGAACAATAACTGAGAAATTGAGGTAAATTTCTTAGAATTGTAGAATGCTAGAGGTGGACAGGATCTTAGAAATTATCTAGTACAAGTTGACAGATGAGTAAACTGAAGCCCATACAGGGGAAGGGTCTTGCCCAGGGTCACACAACTAAACAGGTATTCAAACCCAGGTTGACAACCTTCTCTTTTGCGTTCTGGCAGATTTACGGGCAATGTCAAGCTCAAAGGCATCATTATAATGGGAGAGGACGATGACTCACACCCCTCTGAGATGAGACTGTAAGTGGCAAAAGCTTAGGCCCTCAAGGAGCTCCTCTGGTAACATTTTATTCCAGAATGGTAACATTTTATTCCAGAATAGTATCATTTTTCTTCTTACCGCGTTTAATATTTCCCCTTTTAAAATATCTTGGCCCTGTTCTCATTCTGCATTGGACTACACATATTTCTTCCTGAATTAATGACTTTCTTAGATTAAGAATCTTTAGGCCCAACAGCTTGTCTCATATTTCAAAGTGCATACTATGATACGATTCATTCACAGAGCGTTGTGTAAATGTCATTTGTTGATGACTTTGCAGTTTTCTTAATAACTAGCTGCAGATCTCATGTGATCTTTATGGATTCTATTCTTGGGGTTAGCTTCAACATTTTTCCTTGCTGTTTCATATAGTAATGATCTTATGTGTTTTGTTGATGTGGAATTACTCCACTTGAGTTTGTGTGGCATTTAGTTAGCAAAGTTGTGTATACTTCTTGCAACACTGAATCTTTTGCCAACAGAGTTAGTACCCCTTTTGACAACTTACCTTATTCCAGAACAGCCTTCCTAAAAGAAAGGGAAAACTGCTTTTTGAGTGCTGGGGAAACATACAAGAAGAACTTTACATTTAAAAAGTTCAGGCCGGGTGCAGTAGCTTTTCCCACAAAACCAATAAAAGATGACATATAGGTCGGGCACGGTGACTCACACCTGTAATCCCAGCACTTTGGGAGGCTGAGGTGGGCAGATCACCTGAGGTTCAAGACCAGCCTGGCCAACCTGGTGAAACCCCGTCTCTACTAAAAATAAAAAAATTAGCCAGGCCTGGTGGTGCACACCTGTAATCCCAGCTACTAGGGAGGGTGAGGCAGGAGAATTGCTTGAACCTGGGAGGCAGAGGTTGCAGCGAACTGAGATCTCTCCATTGCACTCCAGCCTGGATGACAGAATGTGACCCCATCGCAAAAGTAGTAATAAAAACAAATAAATAAAAACTTAAAATCCTAGAGGCTGGGCATGGTGGCTCACGCCTGTAATCCCAGCACTTTGGGAGGCTGAGACGGGTGGATCACAAGGTCAGAAGTTCAAGACCAGCCTGGCCAAGTTGCTGAAACCCCATCTCTACTAAAAATACAAAAATTAGCTGGGCGTGGTGGCACAGGCCTGTAATCCTAGCTACTAGAGAGGCTAAAGCATGAAAATCACTTGAACCGGGGAGGTACAGGTTGCAGTGAACCAAGATTGCACCACTGCACTCCAGCCTGGACAACAGAGTGAGACTCTATCTCAAAAAAAAAAAAATTCATCTGAAAAATTGATTAATTTAAAGGACTTTAGGGAGATTTAAGATATATTGTAGTTGAGTATTAGAAACGTGAATTTGGAAGCAAATACATGTGTTTAATCATTTTAAGGAAATAATACCTTTGATGCTTTTGGAGACTCATTTACTTGGAAGATGATGGACTGACCTGAGAATATTAGACATCCATACTGCATTGTGATTTAGAGTGTGGGGTCTGGAGTAAACTGGGTTCAAATAATGGCTGTACCACTTGCTGCCTTCATGACTTTGAGACCTTATCTTCTATGCCTGGATTTTCTCATATCTAACATGGGAATGGTAACAGTGCATACATAACTATAAGATTGTGGAGAGGCTTAAATGAGATAAAACATGTAAAGAGCTTAGATTAGGTCTGGAACACAGTAAGTGCCCGATTTTGGGTGAACAGGTACAAATACATAGCGCTCAGTTCTAAGCACACTACATGTATTATACTTTATCAAATGTAAGATGTCATTGATTGTAAAATGTACCATTATATTATATACAGTTAATACAGAGAAAAATGCTATTTAACTATGACATGCCATGGACACATCCAGAAAAGTTAGATTGAGAGTATTAAATCAGGGAAGTTTGAACACAGATGAGGTGTTACGTGTTACTAAAGAATTACCATTCAGCCAGGCGCAGTGGCTCACGCCTATAATCCCAGCACTTTGGGAAGCCACGACAGGCAGATCACCTGAGGTCAGGAGTTCAAAACCAGCCTGGCCAACATGGTGAAACCCTGTCTCTACTAAAAACACAAAAATTAGCCGGACATGGTGGCAGGCGCCTGTAATTCCAGCTACTCGTGAGGCTGAGGCAAGAGAATCACTTGAACCCAGGAGGCAGAGGTTGCAGTGAGCTGAGATCACGCTACTGCACTCCAGCATGTGCAACAGGGCAAGACTCTGTCTCAAAAGGAAAAAAAAAAACTTACCATTGGGCTGGGCACAGTGGCTCATGCCTCAGTCCTAGCACTTTGGGGAGGCCGAGGCCAAAGGATCACTTGAGCCTAGGAATTAAAGGTTATGATGAATTAAGATCATAAGATCTTATATTGTACCTCAGCCTGGGCAACAGAACAAGGCTTAAAAATATATTATTTATTTATATATTTTGAGATAGGGCCTCACTTTGTCACCTAGGCTGGAGTGCAGTGGTGCAATCATAGCTCACTGCAGCCTCTACCTCCTCAGCTCAAGCAATCCTCTCACCGTAGCCTCCCAGGCAGCTGGGAATACAGACATGTGCCAACATGCCCAGCTAATTTATGTATTTTTTTGCAGAAATGGGGTTTTGCCATGTTGCCCAGGCTGGTCTTGAACTCCTGGGATCAAGCAGTCTGCCCACCTCAGCCTCCCAGTGTGCTGAGATGATAGGAGTGAGCCACTGCACCCAGCCTAAAAAAAATTAAAAAGAATTGCTGTTAATTTTGTTATCTGTTGATGTTGTCAATTATTGTAAAATGGTATTACGTATATTTTGTTTGTTTGTTTGGAGACGGAGTCTCTGTCACCCAGATTGGAGTGCAGTGGTGTCATCTCGGCTCACTGCAAGCTCTGCCTCCTGGGTTCACGCCATTCTCCCACCTCAGCCTCCCGAGTAGCTGGGACTACAGGCGCCGGCCACCACGCCTGGCTAATTTTTTGTATTTTTTAGTAGAGACGGGGTTTCATGATGTTAACCAGGATGGTCTTGATCTCCTGACCTCGTGATCTTCCCATCTCAGCCTCCCAAAGTGCTGGGAATTACAGGCATGAGCCATGGCGCCCAGCCACATATATGTATTTTTTTAAAGCCCCCGTCCTTCCCCCTCCCCTCCTTTTTTTTTTTTTTATTTATAGTGGAAATGGTGTGTCGGGATTGCTTTAAAATATTGAGCTTAAACAAAA